TGACACATTAGTGATTAATTCATCACAATTCCAAGACATTACGAGAAGGTTTAGAGTCTGTACACAGTCTATACATCAGTATCTGGTGTGTCCGCCGCGAGCGTCAATAACAGCAGCACAGCGTCTGTACATGGAGTGGACCAGACGATTGATGAACGCCATTGGCACCTGGAACCACACTCTCAGAAAAGCCGATCCATCGGCTGTGTTTGGTCTCGGTACGACGTTATTAAGTCTCCTCTGAATTTCATCCCAAAGATGTTCAATCGGGATTAAGTCCGGACTTAGGCTGGCCAGTGCATAACGTTGACACCGTTTTGCTGTAGAAAGCCCTGAATAATTCTGGCGGTGTGTCCACGAGCTTTGTCATGCCGGGAAACGTTGTTTCGATGACGCGCGAAATGTGGTATGATGTGGGGTCTTAGCGCTTGATCGATGGAACGCACTGGCACTGCCCTGATGCCGCCTCACCTCACTGGGACAAGAATTTGGAACACCACAGGCCCACTCTCTGTGGCAAGTTTTATGCAATGCGTCTATTCAGAGTAACATATACCAACCTGACGTTTCTTTTGCTGCTTAGTATATTTGAATTTTAATAATTCACAGACGACACTGTGAAAGCGCATGTAATTGATACTCCATTAAACCAAGTATACATATCAAAATAAAGGAACAAGCAATTCGATACATCCGTTGTCTTCCAAAAGTTTTTTTATATCTAAAATGCTCTATTAAACATAATTAAAAACCAACCAGGTAATGAATTTTAAATTTTAACTGCGAAGTAGATCCAGTTTGTGATATTTTTATATAAAAAAAGAAAACCTGATTTGTTTATTTTCAGACGTTAATAACAATCAACGTTATGTCTGAGGTAATTTAAAGTGAGTAAGACGCTGACTCGATATCCTTGAGGTTGCATGTTCGATCCCTGCATTGGCCGAGAAACTCACAGGGATTTTCGGACGCAGTTTCCCCTTGTCACTGGTGCAGGACGGGGGCCCGACAAGGACAACTGTCTAGTCGTTCGGCTGGGACGAAAAATCAAGGCCCCATGAATAATATGACGTGCACGTAAAATATTACTTGGCAGTTGGAATTCAATATAAGAGTAGGCTATGGTGCCGCTGCCCGGGCAAAATTCCACTCATTGCACACTGTATGACGTACGCCACGAATAGGTGCATAACAGTAGGCCGTTAAACCCCATTTGATTTCCGTCCTTAATATCCCATTTTTTTAACACCAACCGGGCTATTGAAAACGGACATGGCCATGCAGTATACCGTGAGAGTCGGGTTGGACGAACATCCTGATCTTATTTCAAATTCCAACATCCAAGGGTTATTTTACGTACACGTTCTGTCCTGCTCACTGACAAGGAGGGAAACACCACGCTGGAAATCCCAGGAAACTTTCTCTGAAAACGTCGGAATGGAAGTGAGTAATGAGCCAGCCAGATTTTCAATGTATTAAATAATACCACTCCTGTTAGTGGTGACCTGATAATTTTAATTTTTACAGGGAAAAGAACGAACTAGATATTTCCGCCACATCCGAGAACCAATTGACCTTGACGTCTTGAGAACATTTGCAGGTCAACATATTGCTGACCATTGTGCTGGTGTACCATCTCATTGGATTGTTGTCATCAGTTAAGAAGGTAAGATTGGTTCTGAATCTCCACCATTTTAAGCTGTTGGTGTGGGTCTCTGCCACTTTAAGCTGTTAATGTGGGTCTCTGCCATTTTAATCGTTTGTATGTTGACAATGTTATTTCGTTATAATTGATTTAAAACACGAAAGAATAACCACAGGTTCAAGCACCCAACATGGCGCATTTGATAATTAGTGGTGGTGCATTATCTAATATTGTTGTATATTTAAAACTTTCATCATGTTAAAATCCTAATACTGTCTATATAGACATATTTGGCAATAAGTAGACAGGGTATTAGAAGTTGTGGTCCATCTGAGTTCATGTATGAACAAATTAACGCATTGTATGTAACAGGTTGTATATCCCGGATTTAGAAAATCAATTCACTATTGTGGAGACGACCCCTTTACCTATCGGAAACACCTACTGCACTAGAAACCCGTTAAATATTTACATTTCTAATAGTTAATCTAAATAATATATCAATTATATGTTGTGAGTGAAATCCGTCTCTGTTTGAATTAATTAATTTTATAATTTTTAAAGTCTTTTATTGTAAAGTTCTCTTTTGTTTCTGATATTGCAAATATTATGTTTGTACTATGGTGATATTTTTACATTAAACTGGTGTCCTTGTAGAATTATTTGCATAGTCGTGCTTCCTACTGGACGACAAACCGAACCCAGTGTACACGGTGGATTGCACGTAAAAGACCCCTTGAAAGTTTAAATTCAATAGAACAATGACTTTATTACTATAAACAACAATAATCATGTGCACCACTATTTTTATACAGAGTTAATCTTCCCTGGACGAACTTCTGGCGTTAATGAAAACAACTCTTATAATTCGCTTGTACGTAGGGGTCTTAAGCAGTGGGAGGAAGCCGGAGGACCCGGAGAAAACCCACGAGGTTGGACAGGCGACCCTACTCCTTGTCACCTACAACCGGCATAAAGCACAGAAGTCTGATCTAATGTATAGTATATGAATACACCATACCCAACTAGCCAGTATATAATAAAAAGGAACAGGCAGCCTCGATTTTACCTGCTCTCGTTTGGGGTCGGTTTGTCAACAATTCTTAATATCGTCCAATCTAACCTCTGCGGATTCACTCAGATATGTTTTTCTGTGGCCGTTTTGATTTGCATGAATACTCCCCCACAAAACGATATCATAGCCACTTGTTTCCAATATTTACATTATTTTCGTTCGTTAACAATTGTCACCACCACCTTGCCCTGACGTCACACACAATTGTATAGACCATCAAAACAAGGGCCAAAGTTATTTGTCTCTCCCTTTCCCTTTCCTCCTTTGCATAGCCATCTTTGTTGACTTTTAGGTGGTGCATCGAGGCAAAGGGTTTGAATATTTTCTGCCAAGCTTTGGAAAATATTCAGGATTTTGAGGCGGAAAGATGCGAGAGTCAAGTGACTGCTTAGGTTTTGTGTGACGTCAGTGCGTGGTGCTGATGACACTTTAATTGTTTATTTTCTTTTAAATGCTGATTCATTGAAGTATGTTAATTATTTCATTATACTAGATTTGGGGGAATTTTCTGATTAAGCTCCAGCTTATCTCTGTTTAAATGTAAAATGGCCCCTCCACTCAATATGTATAGCAGTACAAGTTGTGAGTTACGTCCCTTATCTTAAATGGCGTTGTAACCAACTTTAATTTAACTCAATACATTTCCATGTCATTTGCCGTTCCGTAATATTACATGTACATGTCAATTTTCAATCTTGTACCAATCCGTATTTTAGATAGTCAATAAAGAAATCTCCGTGAAAGGCATCGAGGCAAGATCGGTGTCTCAGGGTCATCTTTAACTGACAATTTGAACGCATTTAATAATATATATATTAAACGAAGAGTATTTTATTCCTAACCTTAGTACTGCAACATCAAGAATAAAATTTGCTCAACGTAGTTACAGGTCCCGTGTACACATTGGCGGATAGGCGTACGAGCCAGGGGTGCAAGCCCCCCCCCCCCCAACTTTCGGGCAAGCTGACTTTTCGGGCAGACGGGTAAAGCAAAAACAAATTTTTTATTTCATCCACTTGGCAAAATAAAGTGCCCGAAATCTAATAAAACACTAATTTTATGGGCTGGAATAACAGTAAAACCCTTTTGCGGCCGTCAAATATTCCAAAATTTTCTTGGAGGATCCATACAAGGTCAGCTCTGCTTCTTTGCCTCTCGAAGAAAACCGGCACCGCTGTCTGTAAACCTGAATTTTTTTCTGGCATTTCTAGTTTTGCTTCCCTAACTGTCACCGAGCCCTAATATAACACTAATTTTACTTTTCTTTTAATTGAATACCACGAATTTGTACTGCGTTGACTATGGATTAAAACATTTAGTCTGGACCCACTCTACTTTGTGCGACATGTTACGGGCATCAATTATTATTTGTGAATGCAGCTGCAATAGTTTGATTGGATGGTTGGAATTCAGAATGGGATTTCGGTTACAAAACCATTGTATACTTTTGGAGTTGCTTTCACGGGCTAGAATAGCAGAAAACGCATTTGCGGTGGTTAAATTTTCAAAATTTTCTCCGGGAGGGTGAGGCCCCCATACCCCGCGACCATTGATTGGTTGTTTGGATTTCGGGTCAGCCAGGTAGGCTATATTTGACCAAATTGAAGTTTCTGTAATCACAGACTGGAATAGCAGGAAAACGCGTTTGCGGCAGTTAAATTTTCAAAATTTTCTCCCAACGGTCTCATCTCCGTGGACTGTAAACGATTTATTGGAATTCGAGTCAGCCACCTTGATTAAGCTATATTAGACCACTTTGAAGTTGCTTTGTTTACGGGCTGAAATAGCACTAAAACGTGTTTGCAGCCGTCAAATATTCCAACATTTTTTTTTTTGGGGGGGGGGGGGTGGTCCATACAAAGTAAGCTACGCTTCTTCGCCTCTCGAGGAACACCGGCGCCGCTATCTGTAAACCCGAAATTTTTTCGGGCATTTCGGGTTCTGCCCCCCCCCCCCAAACTGTCATTGAGCCCGTACGTCTATGCATTGGCGGCGTACACATACATGATTCCTTGGCAGTTGGAATTCGGTATAAGAGTAGGCTTTAGCACCGCTGTCCGGGCAGAATTGCCCTCACAGTACACTGTATGACGTATGCCCGTCTTTATTAGGCCAGTCGGAACAGAACAGTAGGACATTAAACCCCATTGCATTTCATTCGTTCAAAGTTGTTTTAGTTGTGTTATTAGCTCCAGAAAACAACCCAGAGTCATTCTACCACAAGCCCCGTAATAATTAAAAAAATACATGGTTTAATAAGAATTGTGTTTATCCCAGAAATGAATTTATAAAGAATACAAATATTTTATTGAAGCAGAAACTGACCACAGCCGAGCTAATATAAATATACCCCTATTTAAAAAAAAACATGCTACCATATTGTACAGATACAGGTCTGGGCTAAAATAATATAAAAAGGCTACAGCCCTATAGGATTCTGGAGAAACATGCAACTTTATAAAAAATGGTATAGATGCACCACAGCATTCCTCCCAGCTGAATTTGTCTGATTTCAATGAACATAAATTTAAAAATGTTTTTCAATCTCATGGCACTTCATTTATAAATGAAAAAAAAAACCCTATATTTATATACTATATCATAATGGCGTCCCCTACCTTGATAATGAAATTACAGTTTCAGAAATACAGATAGCAATGTCTATACTAAAGGCAGGCAAACGCGCTGAAAAAGGTGATATTATTCCAGAAATAGTTAAAACACTTTGTTTATAGTTTGTGTGTACCACTGTACCGGATCATAATTAACGTTTATAGTTTGTGTGTACCACTGTACCGGATCATAATTAACGTTTATAGTTTGTGTGTACCACTGTACCGGATCATAATTAACTCTCGATGCCATCTTATGTATTCGATTTTCACTGGGTTTGAATTCGATCTGCTACTCAACGCTCATTGATGAATAAATGCAAAAATGGATAATCGAGACTATGTTTGTTTTTTTTTTTATCGTACCGAGTTTAGCAATACTAATCAAGGGTAGGCCTAACATTCAGCCGCTAATATCTCGGTTCAGAGTGGAGCAATTTGACTGAAATTGTCAGCATGTTCCCTTTACATTATCTAGTTTTTAACTATTATCGTTATCTAATCATCCATAATGCCCTTATAAACAATCGACATTAAAACAAAACGGAATTAAATCATTTAATATAGAAATATCTGTAAAATCGGAGGGAACATATGCCATCAGAAATCGATAGAAATATATCAACTCTTTATTTTGATGTAAGTATTATATATTGATAAATTTAAAGTTTTCTAAACAATATTTTTATTCAGGATATCTAATTGGGAATGGGGGAACAGATTTAGCCTATGTACAACCCCTCTCCGTTAACATTATTGGTTAACTTTAATATTTTTTAGCTGGAAATTGTAGATCAGTCGGTTACATTTTCATTTCACAAATAAAAGGAAACAGATTAATATCACAATTTATATCATCATATGTGAAATCAGATTTCCCCAACCTTACTGATAGACAGTTCTCTATATAACCAGGGCCAGTTAGTGTTATTTTCAATTTACCAAAAGTATTTACTGGTGTGCCATCATTCCATTGAAAAATGCCCTCTTCAGCGTCATCATTGGCACCAATTGCTACATTTGTAAGATCTTTTCCTGAAAAATAAAACAACAATTGCGTAAGTGGTATTATGTAACATTTAGGTAAAGAGTTAGCTATAGTTCGAAAACAGATAATGTAAAATTAAAAAATTGAAACTTTCATTCAAATTACTTTACTGCGAGCGAAGTTATTAGCCTTTGAAGGTTTGACAAGATGTGTGCAATAATTTCAACGACTGTACTGGTTGTTCGAAGCTAAGTCTCGCTCCTCCATTTTTAACTTAAATTAAAATATGTCTGAATCGTCCTAATCTATTTAATATCGGAGAAAACTGATGCCATCGAGAGTTGATTATGGCCTGGATCAGTTAATTAATGTCTAATTAATAATTAAGAAAATATTTCAGGCTGAAAGAAAGACCTGCTATAGGCAGATTTAGCTCTTGCATAATGTATGTTTAAATTAATGATTTAAACCAGTTTTACATTTTAGTGTCAATATGATTAACCCTATAGCTACTCAACAATTGTTTTCTCACAACTCCAGCATCTTTCCCACAGCCCAGTACGACATGAATTCCAAATAGTCAGTCAATAAACTTAACGTTCAATGGAATTAATTAACATCTTTTTTGATTGGTTTCAAACCGAATGTGTTAGCATGTTGCTTGGGAGCCGGGTTCGAATACTTAAAATTTTCAAATACTGTTGACTTCTCCCAATGCTACTACAGTATTTAAATTTGGGGTAATGAGTATTTGGATTTGTTCAACGGAACAATATTAAACGACCAAAGGTATGCAGTTTCATATCACATTTGGTATAAATGCAATCTAATTAAAATATAGATCTATATTTCGTGTCGTTTGTTTATACTTTAAATTCGATGGCCTACACTACATGAAGATCTGACCGGTTATAGCGATAGGTCGCGTCAGAGGTCATACGAGCGGCCTTTGACTCGATGAAGTCAGTCATGTGTTTAACCAATCAACGTTGATGTTACTAGTGGATTACTAACAGTCCCGTGCTGACAACGCCGAAAGCTCGCCGTAACAGATCGTTTCATTGGCTAATTCCTCAAGCCATTCAAAACGTGTCAATGATAACAACTCTTCCGGATCCTAGTGTAGTGAAGACAAGTAAAACGAAATGGGATCTGTGTTTTATTTAGAATGGTATAAATGTTGATTTTAAGGTATCATCTATAATATCACGATTCTGCAAAGTGAAATGAAATGTGGTTTAACGTCGTGCCTGTTCTGCACCGACTGGGCTAATGAAGACGAGTATACGCCATACAGTGTGCTATGAATGACCTTTTACCCGGACAGCGGAACTACGGTCTACTCATATTTGGAATTAGAACTATAAAGGCGCCTTTTTCGTGTGCGCCAAAGGTTACATGAGACCGCTGTTTTCGTCACATCCGAGCGACTGGACACGCCCCCGTCCTGCACCACGCGGCTAGATCCCGAGGAATTTTCTCGGCCAATACATAGATCGCCTTGTTAGCGAGACAGCACCTGTTTCCATTGAGCCACAGTGGCTCTCATTATATAAGTAACTACAAATAACAAGGGTTTATAAGGTATTCAATTAGCCTGATCTACCATTTGTGATAAGCAAATTTGAATCATAAAATATTACCGTGCCATTAGGATTGTATTTTAATCAGATTGTGCCGTTGATGTGTTTTTAAGATTAGAATATCTGCATGCGTTATTTTTTATAAGAAACAAAGCTAATTGTAGAACTGCTTTTAATAATTTAAACAATTTAGCAGTCAAACGTTAAAGCGACAGTATCATAACCTGTAATGTATGGATTTGACTCGTTAATGAGAACGGTTGAATATCTACGTTCAATTGATCTTGTATTTAATGATGTAATTAATGATAATCAATCAGGCCAGAATTATTTCACTAATTCTGTGCACGGAAGGGTAAAACTATTGGGTTTTTTTTGCTTCGCGTTTGCTGGGTAACGAGGTAGACGGTGATTGCGTTTCTGGATTGTTTGTTTGGATAATATATACGTTTAAATCTGTGTGAACATGTGCTTGTGATTCTTGTTTTAATTAGTAAATTACACTGTGTACAATTAGTTCCGGTTGAAAACAGACTCGAAGCTAGTTAACCGACAAATTAGTTCCTAAATCAACGATTTTACTGGAATAGAGAGAGAGAGAGAGAGAGACAGACAGACAGACAGACAGACAGACAGACAGATTGGGTTTCACGTCCACCTGACACAAACTAGGTCATTTCGGGACTAACAAATGATTCAATTTTATTTCAATAATGTGCTTGCGGGTAGGGTATTTAGCAGTGGGAGGAAACCTGCAGACCCGGAGAAAACCCACGAGGTTAGACAGACGACCCTACTCCTTGTCACTTACAACCGGGGAATCGAAACCACGTCATTTGACTCAATGGCAGACCTTATGATAAAGCGCGCGCGTGCTAACCATTCGGCCATCCAACCCCACTTTATTTAAATATACATAAATTCTTAAAACTCGCAGGAGATTATATCCATTTAAATATAGGTCATCTAGAGATTTTATTATGGTCTTTTCATGTACATAAATATATAATTATAATTTATAGCATTTGAAGCCCCCCAATAAACAAATCTAGCTCTTCAATAGTAAGTGCAGGGGGACTGCACCACACAAAATTTACACAAAAACAAATACACGGACAAGACACCATACTCAGGAAAACACAAACAGACAAACAATTTAAAAAAGTGGATGGATCCACTGCGCTGTACAGTCCCGGGTCTGTAGTGACACAGACTTCACTCAAATTTGAAAACAATCAGGAAAACAACCCAAAGAAACCATTGTGTAATGCCAGCATGAGTCATGATCTGCTATATCCTACACGAAATACGAATGTAAGCATATGTAGTAAAATGCAACTATACATGTAACCACATCGGTGAAATGTATAAAAAAAAGTAGTCTTAACCTAAATGCTCGAAAAACAATCAAGAAACGTATATTTCGGTAATTTTGAGAAGGGTATTATTATTTTTTCATTTAATAAAATTGGGCTAGGCAAATGATTTAGCATAATATACTAACCCTCTTCTAACAATAGGCTTTCAACACGTTCAAATGAATTGGTGGTGTTTAATATGGCTAGATTACCGCCCCGTGATTCGCAGTAAGTTTTAGCATTGTTCACTTTTCGTATTTTTTTCTTCAGACAAAAACACCTTCCATCTATTTCATCTTCTATACACGAATCTCTCCGTGAACAAACTGAAAGCAAAATATGGCTTAGCTTTATGGAATATGTAAACAATATGATTTGTTATTCAATGCTTTAACGAAAAAATAATTCCGACTTTTTGTCATGCAACGAAACTGGAATAATATTGCCAGAAGGTCAATGTGAGTAGACAAGTCGTACGTTAAACTTCATTTCATTAATTCGAACAAACAAGTGACATAGTATTTTCCGTCCGCATATAGTTTACTACGATCAAATTCACCCTTTTTATTGTAAATACACATATGTACATTTCTCGCCTATAAGGGTGATTTCTCAGAATATATGTTGATAGACAAGATACCTGCGTACAATATATACAGGGTATGCCAAACGGATAAGTAACCTTTCAGGCATAACGATAAATAACATTAATTTAAGTATAACAAGAAAAAGCATGTAATTAAAAGCCTTAAGGTAAGAAATGAAATGGGGTTTAACGTCCTACTGTTAGCATCGACTGGAATACTGAAGATGGAAAAGGTATGAAACTACATAATACGGTGTTGTATATCAATAAGGTATTAACGACAAACAAAAGAAGATCTGATAGAGGGGCAATCAACACTGGACAGAAGCTCTGATTAGAACCTGAGTGCTAGGCTACTAAAACAAAAGGACCCCAAAAGGAGGAAGAATAAAAAATTAGTGTGCATCAAATATCTCACGGCAATTGTGGGCGTTTCTTACCTCCCCAGTATTCCCAGCCAACGCCCGTTGTTGGTTTCTGTATTGGTATGAAACTCGGGGATAGCTCACAGCACTCTTTATTTATCGAGTGGTAGGCGAATGATCGGCACGAGGTTGGTGTATTAAAACAAATTAATGCACACTGGGTCCGGGTTATGACTGTATGCCGCTTGACAATATATCCATCTTCTGGGATTATGTTTCCTCTATATAACTTGTAGAGACCAAATACGGGTACATTAACTGTAACAGATACAAAACATACATGGTAAGAAGATTCAGAATAAACATATACAAAATATCTATATCACATTCGGGGAATAGAAAGTGGAATATACGCAAAACAAAACCGACAAGCTAACCTGCGAACAAGACAAACTACATTAGAGACGTTGTAAAAACAAACAAAAACAAACCCTCCCCCCCCCCCAAAAAAAAAAAACCAAAAAAAAACCAACAAACAAACAAACAAAAAAGAAGTAGTATATAATGCCATATGTTCGGGTTACGCCCGGAAATTATATAATTAGGTAAACGTTGTAGTTCGGTGGCTGATGGGAGGGAATCGCTACCCCAGATGTGAATTTATGAGACCAAGTTTTTCTAGACCAGTTTTTTGCGTAGATTCCGAATCTGGGGGCGTTTGCGAGATATGAGTTGTCCAATGTCTACAATTGGTGGAAAATGTGATTATGTTGACATAAATGATGATCATGTTATATATAAATAAAACATAAATTCCTAGGACTGTCCATCTCTAAATAAGTGTTTATGGTGTCCCTAAATCCCCCTTTCGTTTGTCTTACGAAATTTATTTTATTTATTGCTAGATCAGATTAAAAATATATATATATATATAACACGCACACGATCTCTGATTTTACTACAGTTACGGTTATCGAGCTATATTTCTTATTATATATATGTTTGCTCGATTTCCCTTTGTTGTATGGTGACTTATTCTATTCCAGGTTGATTTCCGCGTATGTAGTCACAATGTTCCGGTTCGATGAATTTCGAGGAATGATTTTCGTGAAATGTTTTTGAAGAAATGTTTTTGGAGAAATGTTTTGCAAGATTTGTATTTGGAGATTTGTTTAGAAATTTGTTTTTCGTGATTTGTTTTTCGTTGTATGTTTATGATGTAAATGTTGATTATTTATTTTGATTTACTGACATAAAGTTTGTCTTTATATTAATATAAAATTAAATGAAACAAAAATACATTTTACAAATCTGATATGACAAATGTCTCATTTGTAAAACATATATTGATTTTACAATACAAATGTTAATTTTAGTACACCAATGTCGAAATACGATAACAAGTGAAGAAATAAGATTTAAGGACTATGAATTAAGAACTAAGAATTAAGAACACTGAATAAAAAGCTGTTTGGTCTTCCAATGTTTCAACTCGAATATCGTGTTGTTCGATCCCTGCATTGCTTGGCCGAGAAAGTTCATCCAGATTTTCCGCGTGGTTCCCCATTGTCAGTGATGCGGGACGGAGGGCCTGACAAGGACAGCTGTCTAGTCGTTCGGATGGGACACAAACCGAGGTCCCGTGTACACATTGGCGTGCACGTAAAAAGATCCCTTGGCAGTTGGAATTCGATATAAGATTAGGCCGTAGCACACTGTATGGCGTATGCCCATCTTCATTAGCCAAGGTCGGAGCAGAACAGTAGGAGGTTGAATCCCATTTCATTTAATTTCATTTCGAATCTCGCGTGTCGTGGTATGCGTCACTGGAGTGATAGAATAGTCTGTCCATATATTCGAATATGTCTAATCACGGACGGAGGTCCAGCCCTGTAGAAATTGAGGCAGCACTGGCTAATCTTGCCATCACCTTTTTCACTTTTGACATTTTTACCGGAAACTCTCCCATGTACCACATTTTGTGACCTTATACTGACTCTTGAATTTGGAAATCGCAGAGGCAAATGCCTATAGTATGCCAAGATGAAAATAATTACACCCTATTGTAATACTTGATATATCATTAACGTGAAGTGACGGAGTTCGCGTAAGCTTATTTTTTGTAAAGTTCGGTGTTACGTATCATTCCATATCGGTATGTTCTATGTTTGTAGGGGGGAGGGGGGGAGGACGGGAGTTTTCGAATGGTAAGCGCGATTTGTCATAAGGTCTGTTATTGACTCAACTGGCGGGGTTTCGATTCCCCGTTTGTGCGTGACAAGGAGTAGGGTCGCCTGTCCAACCTCATGGGTTTTATCCGGGTCCTCCGGTTCCTCCCACTGCTAAAGACACATACGCGGAAGCGAATAACTGAAATATAATTAAACGATGTGTTAGTCCCGAAATGACCTAGTTTGTGTCGAGTCTGCGTTAAACCCCATCTCTCTCTCTCTCTCTCTCTCTCTCTCTCTCCCTCTGTATTCTAGTGTATCATGATTTTACAATTGATCAACAATAACAATCTGGTACTTACCATTAATTAAGACGAGGACGGCCAGCAAAATAATAAACATCTTTCTTTATCTGTGTTTAGTTGGTGTTAGTCTGTGATTGATATATCGTACCTCTCGACGTTAAGGATGAGATTGGCTTCAGTAGACGGCGAGAAAAATATTCAACATCTTTATTTAGGTGTGGTTAGGGACGAGATTGGCTTCCGACATCAGTTTACATGTTCACAATTACAGATTGACAGCTGTCATTCCGGGATAGGGCCTATACGTGGGTCCTCGTTGTCAGCGATAAGCCCTCCCCTATTTTCCGTATATTGATGGCTTTTGAAGGACCGAAAAAAAAAAATATATTTTCACGCTAATTAACGATCTCCACAATTTGGTTTTATTGTGACAGGTTTATTATAAATATTACATACAAGTAATTAAAGCGTGTACACATTACTTATGCTTGATTTATTAACAGAAAATGTGATATTAATACATCGATGTAAAATAATTAACAAGTTTAACGATGCATTACCGTGGAAGTGTTTATGTGATATTACTTTATAGTGTTGGTATATTGTTTTAATATAAACGTTATTGTATTTACATAAAAGATATTTGTAAAAATTAGGGTCATCAAGTCTTACTAGCAAAATATTGTATTCCCTGAAAAAAATGAGGACAGAGCGCATATGGCATCACAAACTTGCAGTCTTTCTTCGTGTTTTTCTGATCGAAAAGCAGTTGTGAGATCTGTTAGAAACTTGTACAGACGGCAGACTTTGTGATGAAACGCGGAAAAAGAAGTTTGCAGTCGATATTTATGGTCAATGGACAGCGAGTAAACAACAAATTACACAAACTGAACACGGACCGTCCCATCACGCCTATCTACGCTTATATTTTATGTCAACAATTAATATGTTAAGGATCCATGCAAAATTTAATGTCGACCACCTTGAAAATTGCCACCATCTTGGATTTTCGAGTGGCTAATGCACTTTTGCAAACGGGTAGTTCCCAAAGAGATATGTGCCAATTTTGATCATTTTAGTGTATCCAGATTTAAAGGCGTAAGCTTAATCAAATTTTATCCAGCAGCTCGGTGTTAAATTGTAAAGTATAAATATTATCTGTTAAATATACAATAGAATACAAGAAATAAAAATAACATCATATTGAGAGTTGACACAGTTCGATCACTACCCCCAGTTGTACCACAAGTATTTCGGCATGTTTTGGTGACTCCTCCGCCCACAACGCATCTAACACTATACCCTGTATTGGGGTATTGCTTACACAACGAATAGTCTACACGATCTGAAAAATAAATAATAGGCAAATGAGACTACACTGGCAAACCAATTTGTGACGAAGGGGAGTCTTTTAAGACACTTTAAGATATTACAAGTTGGATATATTATTTTTAGATATCGACCTGAATGACGTACTAAATCAATAGCATGTACTGTCTTGATCTGGACCAGGACTTTCAACAATCATTATAATAATAATAATAATAATAATACAAACTTTATTTAATGAGGCAACGTATTTAGTTTGCAAAAAAACTAATCTTCCATAGGTCCCTCCTAAACTACAAAGACATATCAGGATAAATATCAGGATAAATTTAAAATCATTAGAAATGCAATAACATTTTAAAGTGGGAAGTTTGATAAGTCACTCCCAAACTACAAAACATATACATTATACAAGTAGAATATAGGAAGAACACTATAATTACACACAAAATAAAATAGAATGCAGTTGCAAGTTAAAAATAATAAGTATGTCATCAGTTGAATATTATGGTTCCTTCAGTGTGCAAAATAAATGAGTTTTCAGTTTAATCTTAAAATTTTCAACATTTTTACACATCTTTATTTCAAAAGGCAGATTGTTCTATAAAAGACATGCAGAATAATGAAAAGTACGTTTTATGGATTCCGTTTTGCATTTTTGAAGAAAAAGAGATTTACTAGTCTGTGAACGGAGCAAGATATCCGTTTTGGAAACAATATATTTTTCAATAAAATGCTGTGATAGTCGATATGATAGTTCCCGCTTTCAGTATTGTTATACCAGAATATTGTAAACATATACCTTGCGCTTTGTGTAGCTTGTCACACATTACATCTGAATCAGGAATACCAACAATAATTGGGTTGCTAGATTTACCGCATGCATTAATAGGCACGGTGTTATATGCACAGGCGTCACATTTGTACCCTGAAAATAATCACAGAAGAACTTTATTTTTTGAAAATCCCAAAAAATTTTCTGATCTTCGGCGGAATATGCGTGAGACTGTGTACTCGATCCGGACCTCTCATCCCGGGAGAAAAACCTAATCGAGACGGGCAGCCGATGACGCTAACAGGTGTTTAAGACTACCGTGTTTCTAAAATACAATACAGTTTGAGCGGAGGCTCCATTGATCTAGGGAAATCCAGCACTGGGTTCAACATTCACTCAGTATAATCAGCTAATGTCAGGTTTTAGGCATTTCATTTATTTTTAGGACTGAAAGGGATAGGAAACACAGAGAGCTCATGAAAGCTGTACCATAACTAATTCCTGTCCAAGCATGTCTTCAATTTTTGCTATTGATTTGCATAATAGTAGCAATGACACACACTAGAAGGGATGCGATATGATAACTTAATAATTTTGCGTGTTTTAAATAAATATTTGTAAATGAAAATTGGAACACAGCTTTATCAATGAACCATGAATTCACGGAATTATAAATTGTTCTTAGCATAGTTCCTTTCAGTACACAAGCTTTACTATATCAGTACTATTCATTTACTTGGCATAGTTCATTTTAGTACATTAGCGTTACTATATCAGCACTATTCATTTACTTGGCATAGTTCCATTCAAACTTTGCTATATCAATACTATTCATTTACTTTACTATTTACAATGTGAAAACTATTAATTACCATCTACTTCTCCATTGGTTCCACATGTGTCATCACATTGTTTTGATGTACCGTTTATATCACATATAACGGTATAACCCCCAACTGTTCTATATTCAATACATAAAGAGAAACCTGAAAAATAGACCTTAAAATATAGAAATAACAGAAGGAGACGTACTTGAGCAAAACATGGGATTAGTTGGCCATTATTTAGATCAAGATATTTATGTTCCCTATTATTATTGTGTGTGCAAAATGTTGGAAACGGAAAGGGGTTTCTTGTACAGTACCAACCGAGCTAATAAATATGGACATCTGCCATGCAGTGTGCTATGCCTGCTGTTTTTGGGCACAGATTTTGAAATTTCCGGGATAAATAATCTGCCCAGCGGGGCTTTGGTAATGGATTAGTGAGATAAATAACCCAACAACTTTTTTGTGGGGACGAGTTAAATGCTAAGGAATTCGTTTATAAATTTTGTGAGGGAGGGCACAAGCAGCCTTGATCCACCTCAGTGTCCACGTGTTTCTTGAAGATAACCCCATTTATATGCACACACCAATATGTATGATCGTCTACTTCATTTCAGTTTCAGTAAATGTTGTGTATTTACCCCTTGTTTTGTTGAAGTCACTGCAGAAGATATCTGGTTTATATGTGGATATTGTATAGTTATAATCATCACAAAATGTTGAGTTATTGGCACAGATAGAACAGTCTAATGACAAAACTGAAATAATACGAATAATGGAATATAAACGAAATATAACGATATGATTTCGTAATAGCCCCATTTACATCTCGTGACCTTGAGAAAAATATGCGTTTGACCTTGCCAAATAGATCTAACCATGTTCAACTTGCCAATCGTACATTATCTATATTAGGTGAATACACTGGACTAGTGTGACGTATTTCATTGAAAAGTAGGTTGTATTTTACGTCCGCTTCCACCGAGGTGATATCGCAAGAAAAATAGGTGCGAGTGTCTGTATTTTAAGTTATTTGATGGCCTTGAGCTTAAGACATTGCGCAATATATTGAAACAACACTCGAGCTCACATCCGCGTACAGTATTAGCATAGTACTTAAAGTAGCTAAGTCTCTAACGCAATATCACCCAAAGTCTTCGACATTGAAGAGAGAGAGAGAAATGGGGTTTAACGTCCACTCGACACAAACTAGGTCATTTCGGGACTAACATATGGTTTAATTTTATTTCAATAATTCGCTGGCGCATAGGGGTCTTTAGCAGTGGGAGGAAACCGGAGGACCCGGAGAAAACCCACGAGGTTGGACAAGCGACCCTACTCCTTGTCACGTACAACCGGGGATTCGAAACCACGCCAGTCGACTCAATGACAGACTTTATGATACAGCGCGCGCACGCTAACCATTCAGCCCCCCCCCCTTCGACATTGAAAACACGGATTATTTGTCAATTTAATTCAATATTGATGTTGTGATCTTACCATGAAAAGATGGGCTAATATTTAAGACAAAATAAACCTTTTACCATCGGTACACGAATCGTGTACCATAAGGGACTCGAAGAAGGAGGCTAGACATATTCCACAAGTCATATCAAACGGTGATCTCATATTCTTATCTGGAGAGCATGCACAAAAAAACCGGGGATCGTTAAACCAGTTTAACTTTGTCGCCTGAACACAAATGTGGGGCAAATAAACCAGTTTATAAACCCCACCTCACGACCTGTCTTCGAGAAGGCTTTTTATTTTAAACTGGTTCACCATGGCCGTTTGAACGGGTTGGCTTAAAAAAAACGACTCCAGCTCGATTTGAGCATGCGCACTCCGCATTAAGTTACATTCCTGGGAAAATATCGGGGTCAGGCAGTGCCAGTGTTATAGAACGCGTGCGAGAACCGAATAAAGAATACGAAGCTACCCATGTGTAGTTAACTCTAACTTCCGACAGAAGAGGTGAGAATAATAAAACTGGTTTGGCTTATAGTACGTGTGAACGCAATACGATATTGTCTTAAAAACCCCGGCAATTTTGAACTGGTTTAAAAATAAGTGTCTGGACGTTATATTAGTTTGCTGGACTATTCGTAAGAAAATCCATTAGGGACAATTTCCACTTTCAACACTGCATGTTTATTATACACAATTGAATTTTGATAAATATAAGCTACGTACCTTTTTTGTGGTAAAGAGTCCGCCATCAATGATTAGAATAAATAATTGAAATTTGATTGATAAAGAAAATCTACTTACCTGCGTTATTACACCGACAGATAAACAAATAGAAAATAAACCAGAAACATGAATTAAAGTTATCCATAACCCTACAGGGCAATTATAACACAATGCCTTGCTTTGGGTTATCCTGTAGCCTCCTACAAGTTCAGTTCAGTAGCTACATTGTATTGCACAGCGGCCAACTTGTCGCCGAGACATATCGTTATCGGTATATCTTATCACATATTGAAAAATAGTGTCTAAACAATGAACCAAGTGATAGCAATATCATATCTTAGAACTCCCGATCCAATTGTGGGCGGCGGGCCCGACAATGATAGTATCTAATCGCTTAAACCGGGCGAACAACCGTTTGTGTAACGTAACTGTTGAAAATCGATTTAAGAGTAGGCCGTATCGTCGTTGTCAGATCAAACTTTCCCTCAAAGCATACTATTTGGCTTATGCCCGTCTTCATTTAGTAACCCTGATCAACAGAGACGGGCTACGTTAATCTATGATCTAAGATTCAGATCTCTATGTAAGAACCTCGCGTACAATCGGGATCAAATATCCTATAATGTTCCAATTGTGATTTTTCCCGTATAGCTTCGGATTTTACAGCACGTGTGTATGTAACGTGTTTGTTAGCGTGACTTCCAAAAACACCCACAGGTTATTGTTGACTTAAACCGTTGATTTGTCGAGTCCGATTACCATTTCTACGATTAATTTTCTGTTCTATGAAGTCAGTTACATGTTAGAAATCTGGAACATGTGTATCGACTGGCAACTCCTGCTATACAGTACATCCAGTTGTTCCGTCGCAGTATGATTACTACAAACATGGTTGATGAGACTTCTGGGGTGACGATACGAAATCCATCATTCTACAGAGAGACAACTACCTACTCTGTAAATAGACCTGAATGACCGCCATGATTTGTAACGTGGTCATGACAAATGATACAGTCCCATTTCAATACATCACACCCGTATATGGTTCACAGTATACCACCCGCTCCTCCACGCTATATCTCCGGCATTACATAGACAATTGTCACGGCTTACGCGTAATGTGGTTATAACAAATGGTACAGTCCCATTTCAATACATCACACCCGTATATAGTTCACTGTATACCACCCGCCCCTCCACGTTATGTCTTCTACATTACATGGACAATTGTCACGGCTAACACGTATTTAATGAATTAGGATCTGGAGACAAAGAGTGACATCAGATGTTCTAGAAAGAGTAAGTATTTCCTGACTCATATACAACACCACTAGTTACGCTGTATAGCTCGAGCAAAAGTTTCAACAAAAGTTAAACATCAATAGGAATTGTTGAGATTCACTGAGTAAGATAGGGACTGGCTAACCAGGGGGTTCCGGATTAATGTGGGGATCACGGTTACTAAGTGGGTAAGACGCTGGCTCGCCAGTCTAGAGGTCGCGTGTTCAATCCCTGCATTGGCCGAGAAAGGTCATCCAGATTTTCCGGCGTGGTTCCCCACTTGTCATTGATGCAGGACGGAAGACCGAGGCAATGTGTACACGTAAAAGATCCCTTGACTGTTGTAATTCGATATAAGAGTAGGTCGCAGTGCCGCTGTCTGGGCTCATTTTCTCTCATAGCACACTGTAAGGAGTTCGCCGTCTTCATTGGCCCAATTCGGAGCAGAACAGTAGGACGTTAAACCCCATTTCATTTCATTTCCGGATTAATGTTACACTTTTATTTTTTTGAATCGGCTCTAGTTTAAACTGCAATATTATAATACCTTTATTTTTTTAAAACATATCATGCACAAGAATTATTAAATAATACTTAGTTGCCATTCCAACCAACTTACATGGCCCTTGTTCTAGCCTTAACCCGTGGCCTTTAGTCGAAAATGTCTCCTTCGTTCGTTCGTTCGTTTCTGGAGTTTTACGTCCACTTCCACCTAAGGTGATATCGTAGACAAAAAAAAAAAAAAAAAAATTCTCCCTTTGATTTATGCTTATATATCACTACTAGACAAAGGATCTCACACGATTACACATCAGACTATTGTCAGATTAAGCGTTCAGTACAGATTGCTTTACAACACAAAGGATATTACGTAACCCAGGCCAGCTATAAGTTTATATGAGTGCCATCTGCACAACCATGGGGGTCGATATTTTAATCAATTCGGTTTTCATATGTCAAGATGGCACGATAACTAGCCATAACATCTGTCACTTTTTACAATTAGCACCCTAAGTTTTCCCTTAACCTTTTCCTTGGTTGTTGGCCCTTGCAACGAAAACATGAAATGAAATGGGGTTTAACGCCCTATTGCCTATTGTTCTACTACGACGGGTATACTCCATACATTGTGTTATGAAGGAAATTTTGCCCCAGACAGCGGCGCCACAGTCTCCTCTTATATCGAATTCCAACTGCCAAGGGATCTTTTACGTGTACGCAAATGTGTACACGGGAACACGGTTTTTGTTCCATCCTAACGAATAGGCTGCTGTACTTGTCAGGCTCTCCGTCCTACATCACTGACAAGGGGAAGCCACGCCGGATTTTTGCAACGAGCATCGTCTAGGCGCCCAGATAGGATGAAAACATGACGTTTCGTGTACAAGTTGGTTTATTTGTAATTCGACATGAGCAAACCGTAGCGCCGCTGTCCGGACGAAATAGAACGTTTAACCCCTTTTGCCATTTGTTCAATTCCCGGTGACTTTATTACAATTAATGACAAACTACAGATCGAGTAACGATGCCATCTTTTTCATTTAATCAACATATCTCGTTACAACTGCTGAAGATATGAACAACATTATGCTGAGTGTAAGCTTATTGGGATCATATAGATGACTGACTCCGCTATTTCCACAGTTATTTTCACAAGTCATTTCTGATCCTGGTCCACTAGTACATATCAAAATATAGCCTTTACCGGGATATTTTTTACAGAGTGCTTTACCTGTAAAACGAACAAAATGATGTCAATTATGGTCAGGGGGAGAGAGAGAGAGAGAGAGGGAGAGAGAGAGAGAGGGAGGGAGGGGGAAATAAAATGAAATGGGGTTAAACGTCCTACTGTTCTCCTCCTAACTTGGCTAACGAAGAAGGGCATTGGCTAACGAAGAAGGGCATACAGTGATCTTATATCGAATTACAACTGTCAAGGGATATTTTACGTGTTATACAATGTGCACACGGGACCTCGTTTTTGTGTCCCATCCGAAAGACTAGACAAGGGGGAACCTCACCAGAAAATCTGGATGAACTAGAGAGAGAGGGAGAGGGAGCGAGGGGGTGTTTATCTGTTTAAATTAAATGAGTCACAATATCAAAGTTTGTTTGCAAGTCGATCAGTATTCTTCTAGTGTACAGGGGCTTAACTAGCTCAGAGCAATGAGGGGGCGGAAAGTGTACTCAGGGGGAGCTGTAAAATTGACGGACAAGTATAGCTAATGTTTTTATGGTCGATAAGTTTTCCACCCGCGCCCCCTATTTACGGGCCTGCTAGTGTAAATCACTTTATCGATGTGGTCGAAGAATTGTCTGTCGAAATTGAAGTGGCGTGTGGCATTATATGGTACACCTGCCTAAAATCAGATTGATAGCGAATATTTTAAATACATGAGTTCACGAGAGAGACAGGTGGGGTGGGTGGGAAATGAGAGCTAGTAAATTAATGAGAACGGGATGAGTCGAGCTAGTGAATTAATGAGAGGGAACTAGTCAGTTAATGAAAGTGAGATGAGTCGAGCTAGTGAATTAATGAGAGGGAACTAGTCAGTTAATGAAAGTGAGATGAGTCGAGCTAGTGAATTAATGAGAGGGAACTAGTCAGTTAATGAAAGTGAGATGAGTCGAGCTAGTGAATTAATGAGAGGGAACTAGTCAGTTAATGAAAGCGAGATGAGTCGAGCTAGTGAATTAATGAGAGCTAGTGAATTACATGACGTCATATGGCGTTATAATATAAAATACAAATATATATTTTAGAACATCAAACAATTTAAATTATCCAGTGATACTTCTTAATAAAATTCCGTTCTTTATTTTCTAGCAAATTATTATCCGACCAGTTGAGTTTATATAAGGGGAATACCCTAACGGTTGCCGTTCCACATGTATCTGAGTGTTTGCTTAGTGGAATCATTTCGATTTGGCAAAACTAGAGTTTTTGTTCTAGTGCATCATACAGTGTCATAAGTTGCCGGTCTATGATATCATCCTAACCAAGTGGCTTTGATTATTTTCTATTTGACAGGGGAACATGAGACCAAAGAAGAGGGGGTAATACTACATACCATCAGCAGTTGTCTTTATATGGTCACAGGTCACATTTGGAATGGTAGGAACATATGGATTGTTGAAAGAACGACATTTATTGATCGGGGTGTTGAAAGGGCACGAGTAACAAACTAAACCTGGAATAACAAAATGGACAGATGATTATATTTCCATAAAATTCTCTATTAATTCGAAAGGGAGAATGTTATATTTTCCATTGTATTCCTTAGGCATGGCTAAGTGAGTAAGACGCTGGCTCGCTAACCTGGAGGTCATGGTTTCAATCCCGATGTTGGCCGATAGAATACATCGGAATTATCCGGCGGCATGCTTCACCCTTGTCAGTGATGCAGGACTTGGATTTCGATATAAGAGTAGGCCGTAGCGCCGCTGTCCGGACAAAACTTCCCTCATAACACATGTTATGACGTAGGCCCGTTTTCATTAGCCCAGTTCGGAGTAGGACGTTAAACCCCGTTTCATTTCATTTCATCAATTCACCCAGTTGATAGGACACGCATTAAAAGAACATTAACTGAATTTAGTTATATCCAATCGTATTGTGAAAACACAAATATATTCATTAGAAGAAAATCTGTCGTTTCTAGTACAATAATCCTTCCAATCACATTTTGAGAAATGAAAGTGTCAGAAAATTTAACGCCCATTCGACACAATCTAGGTGATTTCAGAACTAACATAATAATGTCATAATTTCATTGAAAGATTTCGCTTGTGTGTAGGTAAGTGTCTTAAATAGAGGAAGGAAACCGACCTGGAGATAATTGAAGAGATTGGGCAGTCAATCCTACTCACTGCGATGAAATCCATACCACATGTCTCATTGATTATAATGTAAAGCCCATGCGTTGCGACAACGTTACCCGTACTCCCTGGAAACCACGCAACATTTAAGGACAGTAACAACCACGGCGTCTAGTGGTCTAGAGTGCCGCGCTTCGACCTCTAGCTGGCCGGTCACCTCTGACGCACGGTTGTGGTTTCAATCCCTGGTGTGATTGTATGTGGCTTGGAGATAGGAGCGCCTTCTCAACCTCGTGGATTTACCCCGGGTAAAGCGGACGTAAAACACTAAGAACAACAAAAACAGACAGCATTGATTCGTTTGATTTGTCCATTCGAAATGCACAATATAAAGATAGAGTTCAATGAAAATAATTAGAACAGGTCAAAAACTCAAATCGCTTATATCTTTTTAATATGGATCTTACCTGTGCAGAACGGTAGACAGGCCAACAACACACAGATATAAAATAGAAACAAACTTGAAAAATACATCTTTTCCAACTCTGTAGTAATTAAATTAATATAAAAAGACCCACAACTGGCTATAGGGAGTATTGAGTGGCACTGATGTAGTAGCTATATTGTGTAATCTTTTATATGCGATGACACAAGGTTGAAGGCAAGTGTAGGAGTGTTTTAAGATAAATGATGATCACACATCGACTTAGCAATCTGATATTGGATAAACGAGTTGCGAAATAATATATACATGTATAGAAACAAGGGAATGTTGCAAACGTAGCATATTAAAAATACTTATAATATTGGACTTTATACTTGATATTATCATTAAAATCTCATGAATCATATGATCATGTGTACATGTAGTATCCCACAAAATACAAATAATGTGCTACTTCATAGAGCTTCCAAGGAATATATTTTTTGAGAATCTTAAGACTGTGTACAAATTTCAAATCATTTGCACGATGAAACCTGTATATGCCCCCTCCACAAATTGCGACTGGCTTCAGAGAAAGCGACTGTTATGTTTATTTTGTTGTTTTTTTTAACTAAACTTGTGATTCGGTGGCGGGGTGTGTGAGGGAGGGGGGTTGGGGCAAATATTTATAAAGACCCTGATGAACTGAAATTAAGATTGGGTTGATCTAGTATATGTAGATTAAGAGCTAAACGACTTGCGAAACATACTGATAAAAGATTAGACAAGATATAATAACACGTGACATATTTTATGGCGTACAAGCGAAGCAGAAGAGTATTGGCGGTGACGTTTCGACAAGAGGTATCTCGCTTTTATCAAGGAAAGAATTTCGCAATATCTCGTTTCAACCTTTGAGAGAAAATATCCACAAGCGGGCTAGGTTTTCGTGTGTATGAATATCTATACCAATCTTAGGTAGGGAGGACCATATTAAAATGCAAAACTGGTTTAAATCATTAATTTAAACACACATTAAATCTGCCTATTTCAGGTCTTTCTTTGGGTCTGAAATGTTATCTAAATTATTAATTAGACATTAATTAACTTACCCAGACCATAGTAATCATGAAATGGATAATCGAGGCTATGTTTTTTATCCTACCGACTTTTGTAATGATGATCGATTTGGTGAATTAGATTTTTAAATTTCATCCAACAAAATGGTCAGTTCCTAGTCCATAGTACGATCGTCAAATGAAATGAAATGAAATGGGGTTGAACGTCCTACTGTTCTCCTCTTATACTGGGCTAATGAAGACGGGCATTGGCCATACAGTGTGCTATGATGTTGGAAATTTTGCCCGGGCAGCAGCACTATCGCCTACTCTTATAACGAATTCCAACTGCCAAGGGATCTTTTATGTGCATTCCAATGTATACACGGGACCTCGGTTTGTCGTATCACCCGAAGGACTAGACAACTGTCCTTGTCAGGCCCTCCGTTCTGAACCAATGAAAAGGGGAAACCACGTCGGAAAATCTGTTTGAACTTTCTCTGCCAATGCAGGGATCGAACACCCGACCTCCAGGATAGCGAGCAAGCGCCTACCCACTTTTTTTTTTCTTGTAAATATGTTTATTCAATAAATATATAATCATAATACACTGTACATACATTTTAATCATGGAACAGCACAAAACATTCTTAGTTAATTAAAAGCATTAATTTTTTTTATTTTATTTTATTTATTTATTTTTAAAAACAAGAAACAGGAAAAGACAAGAAATAAATTTCTGAATCAAAATACAGAACCATAGACACATTAACACATTGATGAAATAATAAATCAATAATTCAATGGATCAATATATTAATTCATAAATATATTTAATATTAGGTTAATTAAAATATGTATTAAAAGGTTGTGCTATTCATTTCGAAAATTCAATCAAAATATAATTACACAAATTTACATAGTATGTACATATGATTTTAAAGCTATTGTTTCTAATCTGATATTCAGTAAGGGTAATCTAAGTCGATACGAATACTACAATTCATAGTTAAAAATCAAAAATTAGTTACTTTATCGTTTTCTAATCATTTATATTTAAAAGTGGATTCATGGTGTTTTAACAATTACAAAGCTTAGCTTTTATTTACGTGCTGATAAGATTTTACACAATAAGTAGCAGACTAGATTTCTGCCGTCTGCGCGACGCTGTGTCCCAGTTAATGACCTAAAACTGTTGACTGTGCCAGGTATGCAAGCCTTTACCTTCCAGTTCTATTTTAACACTATACATCATAAAAGTCTTGTTCTTCCAGTGCTCTTACAATTTAACACTGAAAAGGGCTATTGTAAACCTGTTAAGGCAGAATTCTCTGGAGATAAATAATTTAACACAACTATCTTACCTACATCTTTATTGTTTTGTTTGTTAGTCACTAAATATAGTAAATTTTGGGACATAGAGGTTTGTCATTTAAGTTTGAAGCCTATTTTCATGTGAACAATGTTCAACAATTGTCACTCCAAGGAGATTATGAATTGATAATGTTTGATTCTTAACATGTATATAACATTTTCTCTGCACATTATTACCTTAATATAGTTCTATTTTGGCACTATTATATTTTAGCTTAAAGTCATCAAAAAATGCAGTATATTTATATGTTTAAGATTTTTATTAAAGTTTGAAGCACATATTCTCGTTGACACTGACTGGTCATACTGTCATAATATAATATATTTCATTTTTTTTCTACCGGATAATTTACGTTTTGATATTAAATATTAATTATTTCCAACCATTGCTATTTCTGTATATGTTTTAAAGGATTTTTTGCTTTCCCAATTAATAATCTAGAATTACACTTCTGTCGTAATCTTATTAACGATCATTAATGATCATTCGTGTAAATTAACCACCTAGCCACCGTGGCCCCCTAGTACAATGGTACTTCTTTGAGATCACAATACTGCACACAATGAGTTAATTTGTACTCGGAACCTTTGCTTTCCTTCCTTCATAAAGACTAGACAATGTCCTTGCCAGATCCTATCTGCTGCACCACTGACCAGATGAAACCGCGTTGGAAACTTTTTCGGCCAACACCGGCGGCTAACGCGAGACCTTCTGTTTGAGGAAGCCGCGTAGGCTACATAATGAAACGAGTTGTCCGAAAAACAATTGAATAGTTTTATGGTTGGAGTTTCAGTGCAAATGACCTTTTTCACCTTTGATCTCGTTTATCTTGAAAACGCCACAACGGCGGACTGATTGCTACTCGGCAACGTATTCTACGCACAGTTTTGGTGTTGTGCCCATTTAATGCCCCCCCCCCCGCACTCAGTCCCCCGCACTCAGTCCCCAGATTACATGGGCTTTGCTTTATCTTGTAACAAAATAAAGTACGGCGTTGACCTAGTTATTCGACAAATCCGTCTGTGGCGACCTTAAAATAAATTACTCGTGGGCTTCTCCGTATCGTGTAATGAGAAAATAGCTATCTTGTAATAATAATATAATCAGATTTCTTTTTTTCATTTGATCGACCCTAATAGTCTTCCGTAAGTGACAGTTCGTGGCCTAGCTGGTTGTTGAAAGGGCCCGACTATTTTGATGTTGTTGGTTTTTTTCTGGGACAAGTCAATGTAATATATAGCAGTAATGCTGACAAAGTTCGGCTGACAAATCCCACTATATAAGTCTTGATGTGGAAATATAGTTCACCTAATGTTTTTTGATGGATTATAAATCTTCAATATTTGTAGCATACTGGGAAATTTAAATATCGCGTGGGCCGGCATGGGGTATTTTCTAGTTATTTAGTTGGGTAAAGCTCGTGACCAATTCTGAAGCACTTCGCTTTTAGAGTGATATCTGTAAGAATGTGAGTGGGAATTATTTTGACTATAGTCGCCTATATAGATGTATAATATGTTGAAATATAG